TATATATATATATATATATATATATATATATATATATATATATATATATATATATATATATATATATATATAAATATATAAATATATATATATATATATATATATATATATATATATATATATATATATATATATATATATATATATATATATATATATATATATATATATATATATATATATATATATATATATATATATATATATATATATATATATATATATATATCTGCAGCCTTTGGTGCACTGTATTAGTGTTGGCAGAGACCCCCTTTTTAAATTGTAATATCAATCTGGGAAAAAAAAAACACACCACAAGCAAATAATTTTTGCTTTAACCTAAGAGCTCATATTGTAAATTCTATGCAGATTAACTGATATTTTGATTTCCAAAAAAAACGTATAATCACGTATAATGTAATCATTACAGGACTTAATAATAATTGATAAACTGTTATTGTGTTATTGTCTTTGGTAGCACTTTCCGATAGATAATACAATAATAAATAGAGTAGACCTACATAGCACCAAAACATGTGACAAATAATAGTTGCGCTTTATATTATACATTTTATTTTAACACTTTTACTTTAAAGTTTATTTATTTTGCCAGAAAACATTGCTAGAAAATTCTCCCAGAACGCTACAATAATAAATAAAATAAGAGCAAGCTGTAAATATAAAATAATGCTCTTTTAATTTTGATTAAATCAAACACTGAAATAATTGTTTGTTAGAATTATATTTTACACAACATTGATTTATACCATAAACCTGTTAATTTGCAGGAATCTCTTTAATAATCAATAAACTTACTGGCGTTTCTGATGTTGCTACTTGCTAGAAAGTGCTTGTTAGAGTGTGCAGTTTGTTTCCGTACCTGCCGCCTCACCCAACCCAACAGCAGGGGGCGCCGTCTGAGAAAACTATAGGGGCGTTTCCCAATATGCGTTCTTCAACGGTCTTGTGTTCTTGTGTAACGTCATCATCAGCTGCCTAACGGAGGACGCGTGAAACTTCCCGGATGTGATCTTGATATCGAGGACGCAACGATGCAGACTTGAGCACCGAACTCGCTCTGGAAGTCCCAGAAGTCATTGCGACTTGAGGTGAGAAGCGCAGCATTTTATTTAGATTTATTATTAAAGTTCAGAGATGTAACTTATTTACCTCAGGAGTTTCCCTAAATGAAACGGGGAAAGTAAACATTACCATGAACATCTTAAAGGGTCACGAAACACCAGAGCACATGTGTTGAGCTGTTGACAGTGGTATATGTGTCCCACACTGCTAAAAACACTATTAGGACACCTATATTTCACTAAAAAGTGTAAATTGGTTGTTTTTGCGTTATTTCAAGCAAATTTGTACTTCCTGTTTGAAACGAATTTTTGAAGCTGCGTCACGGTCATGAGATAATAGCGTGTATTCCAGCGTGCAGACTGGACGTCTGTGCCAGAGTGTGTCTTATTACGTCTTACAGTGTGATGCATTAATGCATGAGTAAAGCTTGGTTCAAACCAATCAGCGCGCTCTATTGTGCAACTTCATTAATATTCATTACTGTCACAGTGTTTAGACGACAGAGACGCCACGTTGTGTTGGCAAAACAAGCGTGAAGTGTTTCTTTTATAGTTTGCTGCAGTGAAGTTTTGTTTTCATTTTCTCTCTGTGAGAGCTCAGCTGGAGTCACGTGTGGATTAACAGTGTACGCGACACTCGACAACAATAACTTACGTGTCTAAGGAGGATTATTGTTTACCTGAGAGCTGTTCTCCTCTGCAAACGCTGAGATCCGGATTCGCTTGTAGTCTCCTCTTAATAAAGACGCGGCTCTAGTTGCTGGTGATTGTCCTGTCTCTACAGATTTGGTAAGTGAGTGACCAGTGCTCTTTGTTTATTCAGTTTGTTCGTATCGAATTAAGTTAACTATTGCACCGAGTGCAGAAATGTTAGCACCGCATTTTGTGACCGGAATAACACACGCGGCTTTCTGACGCTACCTGCTGTGTGCATCTAAGTTTCCGGGAAATGCAGAGTTTTTTTTTTCTCTCATTCGCCGTGCGGTATCAAACATTGCATGAAAAATACACGCTTAGAGCAGTTCCTCGAATCAAATATCTCGTTTGTCGCGAGGGACATGAATGAATTCCCTAAATGAAAGAGCCAAACTGCAGTTAAAGTCCAACATTTAATAATTTGGCAAATAATTCGACTACAGATGTCCATGTAGGTTAAACACCATCACTTTCTCATGTGTGTGTGTTTTGACTCTGAAACTCGCGCGTGCACAAATAAACACTCCCACACCATCCCACTTTAGTTCCTCCGACACTCCCCCCTAAACAGAGCTGGACACGCCCACTTTTCTGACTTTTTCCAAAGTAGAGGTGTGAAAACACCCTGCTGAAACGAGGGGGTTTCATGGCCCTTTAATAAAGGAATAAACACATTAAGGTTGTTTGTTTGCTGAAATTCGTATTAAAATCTGTTTTATTTATATTGTGCAACACATTTATAATGCTTTTATGTAAAGTATATATTTTGAAAAGGGGAAAAACTATAAATCGTTGTATGAACGCTGGAATGTTTAAATAATTAACCATTTAAAACGTGTGAAGGTCATGTGACCATCAGGAAGAACGCAGCATGTCATTTCTCAGAGGAAGCGTTCTCTGCCCTGGCGTTCTCCTGAGTTCGTTCTTCCGAGGACACCTGGCAAAACTGGTCTCCACAAGAACACAAGTCCGTTCTCTGCGTTCTTGGAATTAAGAAACAGCCTAGGTCTGGAAGTGCAGGTCTGAGCGTGCAGTTGGGTCTCCGGGCCTGCAGCTTCACCTTACTCCATTTTTGGCAGGAGTGGCGTTTAGCGGCTTTTGCATCTGAACCCTTCGTATATTCTTTTTCAAAAACGGTGTACTCGTTAAGAAAAAGCATGCACATCTTTATTTCTGTGACGATGATCATAAAAAGCAACAGAAATGTGTGAGATCCTAAACTGCAGCAGGTTTATTCTCCATTCCATTAGCAGAGCACAACAACCACAAACATACAGCAAACCCACTCACAATCACTCACACACACATACACAAACAGAGAGCATGCGCACAGATTCTTACCTTCTACAGGGGAG